TGGTCCTTTGAGGAACAAGGACTAAGACAAATACTTGAAGAGGATAACATATTAGGACCATATCATGAACAAAATAAGGAAATGAAACCAAACTTGAACTACAACATAAAGAATGTTTGCACGATTTTGCATAATTGGATGTGACTTGAATAATTTGTTCATTTCTTGGATAGGAGCATTTATGGGGTGCTCTGTGTAGCAGCTTGGACTTAAGAGTTTGGATCTATTGAAGAGTGGACATGTATTCTGGGATGGCATGTTACTTTGGTTATGGAATGATGAATGGAACTCTTACCCTACTTATTCCATAAGAATTTAGAAAATAATTAGGGAAAATGATATTGTATGGACACTCTCAAAATAATATCCGAAAATATATGTTTTTTATACATTTTTGTATGTTATGTACAAAAAATATATAAATTTTATACATTTTTTCAGCTATCAAATATAAATAGTTTCAGTCGAGGGCTAAAAGCTTAAAAGTGATCTTTGCCTATTTATCTCACGTTTGAACTCATTTATGCAAAAGAAACTTCTTAAGATAGTTTAAACCATTATTATTATTATTATTATTATTATTATTATTATTATTATTATTATTATTATTATTATTATTATTATCAACTTCAACAATGAAGTTCAAATCCACCAAACATTTAGAGGTCGTGGCCGTGGACAAAGAGGAGGAAGAGGACGTGGCTATTATCAAGAAAATAATGGACAAAGGTATGACAAATCAAAGATTGAGTGTTATAACTGTCATAAATTTGGCCATTGCTCTTGGGAATGTCGTAGTAATGTTGAAGAAAAAGCTAACCTTGTTGACGACAAGAAAGAAGAAGATGAGTCAACGTTGTTAGTGGCACTCAAGGAAGAAGACACGGATGATTGTACCTCGTGGTATTTTGACAATGGAGCAAGCAATCATACGTGTGGATGCAAAAAGAAGTTTGTGGAGTTCAATAAAACGGTGAAAGGTAATGTGTCCTTTGGAGATACCTCAAAGACTCAAATCGAAGGGATAGGTACGATTCTGATCTCCTCTAAAAAGGGTGACCATAAGTTAATTCAAGATGTTTATTATGTCCCAAGATTAAAAAGTAATATTTTGAGTTTGGGCCAACTTCTTGAAAAGGAATATGACATCCACATGACAATATACATCTTTGGCTTAGAGATTCAAGTGGAATTCTAATTGCTAGAGTGCATATGGCAAAGAATATATTATCTTCTCTGAATCTTAAGACAATTGATGCAAAGTGTTTGAAAGGTAATGTGTAAGATAAATCATGGTGTTGGCACATGCGATTTGGACACTTGAATTTTGAAGCGCTCAAATCAATAGGAGAAAAGAACATGGTGCATGGGATACCATCAATCAACCATCTCAATCAATTCTGTGAAGTTTGTCTTCTTGGAAAACATGCAAAGATGAGTTTTTCAAAGGAGGCCATGTCAAGATCAACCAAACCGCTTCAGCTTGTTCACACTGATGTGTGTGGACCAATTAATACACCTTCTTTCAGTAAAAGTAAATATTTTCTTCTCTTCATTGATGACTTTAGTAGAAAGACATGGGTTTATTTCTTGAACCAAAAATCTGAAGCTTTTGCTGCTTTTAAAATTTTTAAAGTACTTATAGAGAAAGAAAGTGGCTATGAAATTAAAGATTTAAGGTCTCATAGAGGAGGTAAATTCACTTCAAAAGAATTTATGACTTCTGTCAGTCTCATGTAATTCATCAACCTCTAACGATACCTTATTCACCTTAACAAAATGGAGTTGCAGAGAGAAAGAATTGAACGATTCATAATATGGCTAGATGAATATTCAAAGCTAAAAGTATGCCCAAGGAATTTTGGGCTGAAGCTTTTTCATGTGCAGTTTATTTGAATAACAGGTCTCCAATAAGAAATATTAGAGATCAAACCCCTCAAGAAGCATGGGGTGGAAGAAAGCCAAGTGTTAAGCGCTTGAGAATCTTTCAGAGCATAGCCTATACTCATGCGCCACAACAAGGGAGAGCAAAACTTGATGATCTAAGTGTCAAGCATGTATTTATTGGTTATGATACGAGTTCAAAAGGCTATAAGTTATACAACCCAAGTAGCGACAAAGTGGTGGTAAGTCGCGATGTTGAATTTGATGAAGAATTGGCATGGAATTGGGAAGCTCAAGAAGAAACTTCATATGATTTTCTTCCATACTTTGGTGATGAAGAAGAACCAGAGACCGTGGAACCTGTACAGGATACAACTCCACCTCCATCTCCAACCAATGTTGCATCTCTCTCTTCTCAAGAAAGTTCAAATGAATGCCCGCAAAGGACAAGGAGTATTCAAGAGCTCTATGAGGACACATAAAAAGTTACTACTTTTGATTTTTTATATTGTCGCTTTGATGAAAGTGAACCAATGAATTGTGATGAAGTTGTTACAGACAAATGGTGGAGACAAGCCATGGAGGAGGAGATCGAGTCAATAGAGAAGAACAACATTTGGGAGTCAACTTTTTCCAAGGGTCATCGAGCAATTGGATTAAAATGGTAATACAAGACAAAGAAAAATGTTGATGGAGATGTGGAGAGAAACAAGACACGACTTGTGGATAAAGGCTACAATCAAAGATAAGGCATTGACTATGAAGAAGTCTATGCACTTGTTGCCCGCATGGAGACGATTCGCTTGCTGATCTCTTTGGCGGCGCAAATGAAGTGGAAGATCCATCAATTAGATGTCAAGTCAGCCTTCTTGAATGGCTATCTTGGAGAAGAAGTCTATGTTGAACAAACACTAGGATTTGTGGTAAAAAACCATGAAGATAAAGTGTTGAGGTTGAAGAAATCTTTATATGGATTTAAACAAGCCTCGCGGGCATGGAATAATATTTTCAAGATAATGGGTTTACTCGTTGTCTCTATGAATATGCTCTTTACCTTAAAGTTCATACTAATAGAGATATATTGCTTGTTTGTCTTTATGTTGATGATCTTATTTTTACAGGTAATAACCCAAGTTTGTTTGAAGATTTTAAGAAAGATATGTCCCATTAGTTGAGATGACGGACGTAGGGCTCATGTCATACTACTTGGGCCTAGAAGTGAAGCAGACGGAGGATGAAATTTTTATCTCTCAAGAAAGCTATAAAAAAGAGATATTGAAGAAGTTCAATATGCTCGATTGCAATCCCGCGAACACGCCGATGGAGAGTGGGACAAAATTGTCCAAGTTTGATGAAGGAGAAAAAGTCTTGTGGGAAGTTTGAGGTACTTGACTTGTACCAGGCCAGATATACTCTTTGCGGTTGGAGTAGTAAGTCGCTTCATGGAAGCTCCTACCTCAACTTATTTGAAAGTCGCTAGAAGAATTCTTCGTTACCTAAAAGGTACGATTGAATTTGGGCAATTTTATTCTTCTTCTAGTATTTTCCACCTTATGGGATATTGTGATAGTGATTATGCGGGAGATATTGATGATAGCAAAAGCACAACTGATTTTGTATTTTCTTGGGTGATTCTGTTATTTCTTAGAGTTCAAAGAAACAATCCATTATTGCTTTCTCGACTTGAACTTAATGTATAGCAACAACATCTTGTACATGTCATGCTATTTGGCTGAGAAGATTGTTGAAGGAGCTCAATTTACCACAAATTGAAGCTACAGATCCACACAGGCACTCGCGAAGAATCCGGTGTATCATGATCGTAGCAAGCATATAGACACAAAGGATCACTTCATCAGAGAATGTATTGCCAAGAAAGATGTAGAACTCAAATATGTGAAATCTCATGATCAAGTTGCAGATATCTTCACAAAGCCTCTCAGGTTTGAAGATTTTCAAAGGTTGAGATCAAGACTTGAAATGACCATGAAAATTCAAAATTAAGGGGGAGATTTGTGGGACCCATCTAAATAAATAAAAAAGGAAATAAAGCAAAAGATGGAAAAAAGTTGCAGAAAGCAAGTTGGGCGGCTGCAAATTGTCGAATGAGCCAATCTGATTGGTTGGTTTGGTGGCAACTTTGCCTATAAAAGGAAGTGTTCCGCTTCAGTTTCATACACATCAAAAACAGAGAGAAGCAATAGAAGTTAGAGAGAGTAATCCACATATTGTAGTCTGTGAGATAAATAGTGTGTGTGAGTAATATTGTAGTGAGCTGTTTAAATAAAGAGTGTTATTTCTTTTAAAATTGTAGCAGTCTCTTGACACTACTAAGTTGTAATATTATAGTAGTAATATTGCTCCACTCGGGTATTGTATTTTACCTCGTTAAAAAAGTTGGTATCATTGTTACTCTCTTGTGTTATTATTATTTGCCGTGGATATTATTTCTGGGCGGCATTATTATTTTTCCCAACAAAAACCACAATGATAAAACAAAAACGCTAATCCAGTTGGTAAATCAGCAAAATATCAGTTGTAACTCAGAATTAAAGGCATAAAAACATCTGGGTGTTTTTTTTTGTTGTTACTTTGTGTACCTAAGCACAAATGTTGTTCACACTTACAGAAGCTCAAAAATTAGAAATGGTAAGTGAATAATATCGAATACCAAAGTAAAATGATAAAACACGGAAGAAGTTTTGGATTATGCTTTCCTAAGAATGAAAGATCATTCGGGTCGACTAAATTTATGGGATGGGTCAGATGTAGAATGGGTCTATTGGGTAGAATGGTCAAGTTTATGGAGATGGGTCATTTTAAGTTAGTGAGATCCTTGGCTGTTAACATGGACAAATTATTAGAGGGGTCGGGTGCCACGGTGGAGGGACATTAGGGCCGGGGGCAATTTTAAATAGTTTGTTAACGATAGGGGTACTTTTGAACGAAAAGTATAACGAGGGACTGATAAATTCGTTGCTATAAAGAGGCCCCTCCGCCAATAGTTTTGCACACATACATCTGACTTACGTACGTTGCTCAAGTAAGCGATTGTTTTTCTTAAATAATAATAATAATAATAATAATAATAATAATAATAATAATAATAATTGGAAATGGTGAGGGCACCTTGTTGTGAGAAAGTTGGGTTAAACAAAGGGAAATGGACTGCTGAAGAAGATGAATTACTGGTAAAGTATATTCAAGCTAATGGAGAAGGTTCATGGAGGTCTCTTCCCAAGAATGCTGGTAATTAAAATTGTTTCTTTTCATTATTTTTTTCTATCTTTTTTTTTTTTTTTTTTAATTAAGTCAGTTGACCATCCTTTATATTACATATATTGGTCAATTAAGAGAGGAGAAAGGTTGGTAAAAGTGGTGCATAATCATCTAAACACTATCTTTCTAGTTTATAGATTTTTCTTCCTTGGCAATTGCATAACAATAAAGGCTAAACTTGATGGAACAATAAAATTGCTTCAACAACTTTATCCTTTAGCTCTAACTAGTCATTTATGTTCACATTTTCATTAATTTTGATATTTTTACTGTCACGATCCAAAATCCACTGGTCGTGATGGCACCTAATCCAACCCGCTAGGTAAGCCAACTATTAATTATCCAATTTCAATTATATTAACAAGACAATTAAATGAATGTAATTTACGGAATTTTATACATTTCCCAAAGACTGGTAGTACAAATCATGAGCTTCTATGAATGAAGTTTATAAAGCAACAATGAAACAAATACACAGTCTGTTTGAAAAGTACATAAACAGAGTTTTATAAGCTAAGGCTACACCGAACAAAGGAGGCAGCTACAACATGGATGCCGGTACATCTTCAAGTCCCGCAACCATCGAGCACAACAACAACAACAACCGACATCTGCATGTAATGTGCAGAAGTGTAGTATCAGTACAACCGACCCCATATACTAAGTAAGTAACAGACCTAACCTTAGGTTGAAAGTAGTGACGAGCTAACACAAGATCGGGTCCAATGCCAGTATTTCCACAACAGTTCATAACAAGATAATACAAGTAAAAAAAAAGATATCTCAAAAATAAAATACTCAGCTCGTTCACAATTCCAGAAAATGGTCATGCTTCTTAAATATCTCAGTGAAAGAAAATCCCAGATCTCTTATCGAAAATGCCAAAAGTACGAGTAAGTTTGAAAACTATAATTTTTTTCAAATATCCTTTCCACAATAAATAAAATATCTCATTTTCTTTCCAAATAACAAGTATAAAGTGCCTCTCCACACCCACATATCAATGTGTATAATAAGTAATGAATGGCGTGATACTATCTAGCATGAGAAAAATGCATCTCTATGCATGTATGTCATGTATGCATGTAAATGCCATGTATTTCAGAGATGATACATGTACTCCAACTCACAGAGTAGCCAACCTCATTGCCTCGCATCCTCTCCTACTAAGCTCAATACTCAACACACTAAATCTCTCAGCACTGTGTAATAACGGCTGCAGCGTGCAACCCGATCCATATATATATATATATATATATATATATATATATATATATATATATATATATATTCGACTGCGCTCACTGGGGGTGTACAGACTTCGGAGGGGCTCCTTCAGCCCAAGCGCTATATCGCTGCGGCGTGCAGCCTGATCCATATACATAAATATAATCAATGTATCGCTGTGGCGTGCAGCCCGATCCCATAAAGTATAGTAGATATAATATGCTGCGGCGTGCGGCCAGATCCAAAAATGTCACTCTCACTCAGGCCCTTGGCCTCACCCTGTCATGAATCTCTCCAGTCTCACTCACGGGAACACAATGTCATGAATCCAGCCCGACAACAATGATATGATGTATCAATAACAACAACTGAGACTGAGATATGATATGAATGCATGAATATGACTGAGTACAAAAATATCAATGGAAATCAGTGAGATGACACCCAGAAATAACCACTTTGGGTATAAACAATATCAGCATGAAGCCTAAACATGATATTTAGCATGATTGATAGCTCAATTACTTTACCACATGGTGAAAACATAAATATCCCCAAAATAAGGCCACTATACAAGGCCATGGGAATAACAGAGTCCCAATTCACAGGGTGCACGCTCACACGCCCGTCACCTAGCATGTGCGTCACCTTAAAACCAATTACATAACACATAGTTCGGGGTTTCATACCCTCAGCACTAAGCTTAGAAGAGTTACATACCTCGAACGAGCCAATACCAATGCCAAGAAGGTCAAGCGATGCTCCAAAAATGCCATCCCACGCGTTCCGACGTCCGAACGGCTCGAAACTAACCAAAAACAACTCAAATACATCAAACAATGCTAAAGGAATCAATCCCAATCGAAAAAGGTCGAATCTTTTATCAAAAGCCCAAAATCGGCCAAAAAGCTCAACCCGGGCCCGCACCTCGAAACCCGACAAAACTCACAAAATCCGTCAACCCATTCAATTACAGTTCAACCATACTAGTTTCACTCAAGTCGGACTCCGAATCGATGTTGAAACTCAAAAATTCATATTATGAAACTTTAGGCCAAAACCCCCAATTTCTTCTTTAAAATTCATCAACCAAAAGCTAAAATCGAAGATAGATTCATGAAATATAACCAAAATCGAGTAGAGAACACTTACCCCCAATTCATATGTTGAAAAGTGCCTAGAAAAATTGCCCAATTCCGAGCTCCCCAACTCAAAATATGTTAAATGCACAAAACCCTCGCTTAACACTGTTCTGCCTCGTTTCTTGTGCCAAAAGATCTCCAAACTCACTTTTGATACCTCCAATGGATTCCTTGTAAAATTCAAGTCAAGTTAGGCTCTTGAATCACTCGACTTGACCTTATATTAAAGGAGATATGTTGGTTTCAATATTTGAAAATAGTGCAGATTTTTAAATACGCAGCAGTGGCAATTTTGTAATTAATCTGAAAAATCTGGCAACTCAATTCTTAGTAAAATGACCATAAGATCCTCATACGATGTCCAAATTTGTTGATTCTTTTTGCTATGGCTCCGTAATTACGATACGGATCTAATGCTTCAATAAAAACAGATATCGGAGCTCATTTGTTCAATGTGGTACCATTTATGCTTGAAGAAACGACGTCGAAACATAAGAAAAACGAGCGCAACACAACCCAAACCTATACGAAACTCACCTGAGCCCCTGGGGACCCTGTCTAAACATACCAACAAGTTCCATATCATAATACGGACCTACTCGAGGCCTCAAAACACACATAATAATATCGAAACGACGAAACGCACCTCAAATAAAACTTAATAAACTTTCGAACTTTCGACTTCCAAAAACTCACGCCGAAACATATCAAATCAACTCGGAATGAATCCAAATTTAGCACATAAGTCCTAATACATCATATGGAGCTACTCGTGCCCCCAAACTACCGAGCGAAGTGCAAATGCTCAAAACGACCGGTCGGGTCGTTACATTCTCCCCACTAAACATACGTTCGTCCTCGAACGTGCGCAGAGTTGTTCCAAAAGCCATCAAATCTCTGTGTAACCTCACTATGCACATACCCGGGGGTGATCCCACGTCACCCTATCCCATATAGATCTGATAACACAAAATGGCTGAAATTTCTTAATCCAACCTAGCCCATAAGCCTTTGAATCCCATTTCCACATCCAAAATTTTCTATAAGATCAGAATCTCGCACCAACACATTGTATAAGTCTGAACAAGCAGTATCAAGCCATAGCCGTAATCAAGATGAAATCACATGATATACCATATAACTCAAACACTCATAGCGATAACTTCTAATCACAGTAGTTGCTCAAAACAACCCAATACCGGTAATAAACCTCTTATCAAATAGAGCCTCGTTCTAACACCTTCATATACTTCCAACGATGAAAGAAACACTCATAAATTCATAACCATTCGTCAGACCAACAAGTTGTGGAACTCCCTCTCCTTTGATAGGAACAAAAGCAAATTTCTAAGCCGATCAGCATCTTTATCCTTCCAAATATATCGTAGTCTGATCCGATAGCACCCATTCTACGTACGACGTACCTCATCCCATCTAACATAATCACTTTAGTGACATGACACATTAATACAGTCTAAAGCCGCAACTCGTGCAATCCGTGCACCAATAAGCAATATTCCAAATGTAATCAATCATGGAAAATGACTCAGCCGAAGGAACTATCTCACAAGCTCAACAGGTACCGCCACAAAGCAATGCTAAGAACCTATCACACACAGTATAACCAAAACACACGAATCTAACACAATGGATCATGTCTCAACATAACTCCGCTACAATGCGTGACACATCCAAACGCTGGTCCATATTATGTACCTTGAGCCACCCTGCTCAAAATGAATAACCACGCAAAATTCGACATCAAGCACCCAAAGTGCATTACCATAACCACGGAAAGCAAATAACACAATACCACAATCACGAAAGAACATAGCCAACACGCAATCAATCATGCAATACCCAAATACTCATCTCGCTCAAATTCCGCTATAAAGCTCAAATAGAACCGCAACATATGTGCATATAACCAACGAATCACAACTCCTCGTGGCATAGAAGAGTAACTCATAGATCATTTCAGAATAATAAGCTCAACAACAACCAAATGGAACATCCCTCAGCAATAGCAGTATGGAGCCAACCAATCCGACTTGGTGTAGAATACACATCCTAATTGGGCCTACCAATTGACCCCAAATCAACTCTGGTCACCCATAAATAGATAAATAATCCTCCGAAAGTCCACAATGACTGAATCATAACACATACTATCACTTGGCTAGCTTCGGCCACACTTCACAGTCCACAACCATGCAACAATCTGCTCCTGAGAGCTCCCAATCTCCAAATCCATAGAACACATGAATCACCATATCTGATCCCAACTCCACCGCCTGAATGTCTAACACATCTCTCATACACGATCATCCCACGAGGAATACTTCTATAATTCTTCTGTGCCACAAAGCAAAATTTGAACACCAGCAGTCGATCAACTAGGAGAGTGCCGCAATACCAATGAAGTATATATAAATCAAAACACATCCCCCTTCTGAAATGTATACTCTCATCAAGCCATACCAAATAGTAATGTTATTTACCTAGTCATCTAAAACTATCCATGTTGCCTAAGGACTCATGACCTTCCCTTCAAAATTGAATCGTGATCTTACACATACAAATCTCAATCCTACACAACAC